TATATATATATATTATATACACTATACTATACATACACTGTGCATACACACACATACCAATCAGCCATAACATTATGACCACACACCTAATATTGAGTAGCCCCCCCCTTTTTACTCCAAAACAGCCCTGACCCATAGAGGCATGGACTACACCAGACCCCTGAAGTTATGCTTTGATATCTGGTACCAAGCTGTCAGTAGCAGATCCTTTAAATCCTGTAAGTTGTGAGGTGGGGCCTCCATGGATCAGACTTGTTTTTCCAGCATATCCCACAGATGCTCGATTGGATTGAGATCTGGAGAATTTGGAGGCCGAGTCAACACCTAGAACTCGTTGTTATGTTCTTCAAACCATTCATGAACCTTTTTTTTTTGCAGTGTGGCAGGAAGTCAAATTCTGCAGAAAGAGACCACTGCCATTAGAGAATATCGTTTCCATAAAGGGGTTTACTTGGTCAGCAACAATTTTTAGGTAGGTGCTACGTGCCAAAGTAACATTCACATGAATGGCAGGATCCAAGGTTTCCCAGCAGTACATTGCCCAAAGCATCACACTGCCTCCTACAACTTGCCTTCTTCCCATTGTACATCCTGGTGCCATCTCTTCCCCAGTTAAGTGATGCACATGCATCTGACCATCCACATGATGTAAAAGAAAATGTGATTCATCAGACCAGGTCACCTTCTTCCATTGCTTCTCGGTTCAGGTTTGATGCTCATGTGCCCATTGTAGGTGCACACCGGTCAGCATAGGCACCCTGACCAGTCTGCCGATACGCAGCCCCATATGCAACAAACTGTGATGCACTCTGTGTTCAGACACCTTTCTATCAGGTTCCACCTGGCAATACTTTGGTGATGGTTAGTATTAATGGCTAGTTTGAAGTTATTGTTTTTGAGAAGTGCCTCTTGTGGGTTGTCACTTATGGAGGATTCTAGCATGGTATTGAAAATTCCGTATACCCTATTGTAAGCAACTGTGATGTATTCAAAACAATATATAAGCATGCTGGGAGTGCTGATCACCTGGGTGCCCCACAGGTGTCACTGGTTCCTGTTGCTGACCCCCATATTACTGCTGTATTATTATTATACAGGATTTTATATTCCACCAATAGTTTGCTCAGGGCTTTACAAAAGAAAGGGAAACGACTATATCTGCTTTACAATATATTGCAGGAGGGTTAGGAGGGCCCTGCATGCAAGAGGTTGCAATGTAAAAAGGAGTTGCAAGTGATACAAAAAGGAACTGTGTGGGAAAATGTAAAAGTTCAGCCATTGGGTGGAGGCAGGGTAGGCTTTTCTGAATAGAAGAGTTTTTAGGGATCCTTTAATGAACGGAGATCAGCAGGAGGAACCAGTGAGAACTGCAGTGAAACCTTAGAGATTAACTCTCCCGAAAGTGTTGGTTTCCCAGTCAACTTTGGTGGACCATTTCCAAGGATTGGAGGCAGTGTTCAGAAGTGGGTACAGTAGGGAGAGAAGTATATGCCAGGGGTTGGTAACCTTGGCACTCCAACTGTGTTGAAACTACAAATCTCATAATGCCTCTGGGTGTCATTCCTATAGCTGTCAGTCTTGCATCACCTCATGGGAATTGTAGTTTTACCACAGCTGGAATGCGGAGGTTGCCTACCCCTGGCATAGGCTCTCTTCTTTTAGAGGTATAGCCTGAATGGGCATGTTTAATATAGTGATACACACTGTAAGGGAGAGCACAAGAGCAAGCTAAATACATTTCAACACAGTTTGTTTCTTTCAAAGCTGACTGTGAAAAACAGGATGTCGGGCAGCAGATGCAAAACATTTCACTCCCCATTTAGTAGAATGGTAGAAACGTATTTACGTAAATAGAATAGACTTGAATTTGGAACTCAGTTCTGTGTTTGGTTCCAGCAAATACCTTTCACGGCTCCCAGCGGAGTACAGTCTAGCTCTGTATTGTGTGTCTTAATGGGGTCTCAAATTAGATGCAGTTCACACTGCATGCAGCCAGGAATAGTTTTTAATTGCCATACATCTGTCAGACTCTCAGTGTGAGCATAGATGTATGCTGTGAATGTGCCGGCTGACATGATCACCGCCGGCTTGCGTTACTTGTGTTCCGCAAGGAAGGAAACAGATTCTGTACATTCTGTTCCACTAGGTGTCTGCCACCTGTACACTATGTTGTGTGGATGAAGGAACTACAACTGGCCCTGGGATATGCTTAGAGGGAAACTAAAACTTGTGCTCTGTCAGATTTAGTACATATTGAAAAGTTTAGCCACAAGTGATTTTTGATGTGACTTACCGCGTTTTACATACTAACTGTCCCATATTGTCCTGGTTGTAGGTTCGCCCTCTAGTGGTCTTCTGTGTGACAGAACAAAGTTGTGTACCGTCACTAATCAAGTTCTGAAAAACAGTTACAGGATATAAGACGTCTAAAGAGTGTTGCTTGCAGTTCATGTTGCACTAAAATTTATAGCAAGCTGATCCTATTCACACATTGTAAATATCTCTAAAATAAAACCCATAAAAGGCCAACGCAACCCAAATATGTGCAGGCCCTTTTACATGTAATGGAAGCTTGGAAAGGCAATGCTCAGACTTGCTTGCCGTTGAGTTCCTTTTATCCTACTTGCCCATTCGTTGTCCCCCTACTTCCTAGTTGAATAAAATCCAATGACACCCAACCTCTTGCTGTAAGATGTCAGATGACATGGGGGGTAGCATTGTCAGTACCTCGTGTCCATATTTAATTGCACAAAAACAACATAAGAAAATCTCACTAGTTGGAGCTAGCTCGTATTTGTGATTTTTATATCAATATGATATTCTTTCAGCTGTTCTGTTCCTAGCCATCCATGTGTAAAGAGTAAGCAAGCTATTGACATCTTTTAAGATCCCACAAGCAATCTAATCGGACTGGTGATGAATTGCCTTGCAGCGCTGGGGGTCCCCGGTTCAAATCCCAGTCAGGACACTATCTGCAAGGAGTTTGCATGTTCTCCCTGTGCTTGTGTGGGTTTCCTCCGGGTACTCCTGTTTCCTCCCACACTCCAAAGACATGCTGGAAGGTTAATTGGCTTCTGTCTAAATCGGCCCGGTATGTATGCATGTGAGCTAGGGACCTCAGATTGTAAGCTCCTTGAGTGCAGGGACTGATATGAATGATGAATGTACAGCACTACGTAAACCGTCGGTTATATAAATAACAATAATTGGCCTACTGCTACACAGGCTATCCCCCCTTCAGTCTATCATGAATGCTGCTGCTAGACTCATTCACCTAACCAATCGCTCAGTGTCTGGAACCCCCCTCTGTCAATCCCTGCACTGGCTTCCAATCGCCCAAAGGATAAAATTCAAAATATTAACAACCACTTACAAAGCCATCCCGGTTATATCTCCAACCTCGTCTCAAAGTATCACCCTAACCGTCCCCTCCGCTCTTCAAAAGACCTTCTGCTTTGCAGCTTCCTCATCAACTCCCCCCCATGCTTGCCTCCAGGACTTCACTAGAGTCTCTCCCATGCTATGGAACTTTCTACCCCAACCTGTCCGACTGCCTTTAGGCGTTCCCTAAAGACTCATCTCTTCAGGGTAGCCTATACCACCTCAACCTAACCACTGAACTATCACTTTGTCTAACAATTCATCCCCACACAGCTACCTCCTCATGTATCACTTGCCCCTCCCTTCTAGATTGTAAGCCCTCAGGGGCAGGGCCCTCCTTATCATCTTGTCTTGAATTGTATCGTATTGTAATGTCTTCCTTATATTGTATAGCGCTGCGTAAAGTGTTGGCGCTAAATAAATCCTGTATAATAATAATAAAGAAAATAATTTCAACAGTCTGAAAAAAGAGGGGTATGGAGACATACTGGGCAATCCATTGGGGGAAAGTCTGTAAAAAAAAAAAAAAAATGAAGACCCTCTGGTTTAAGTTGTCTCACCCCTCTGGTACTTATCAAATGAATATGCTATAAATGGCCTCAAGGAGGCCCCATGTTTGCTCAGGCAGCCAGTTGTCCATCAGCCACCTTCTTCCCCACTCACACTGACCATGGACTTACAAGAAAGAAAAACATCATGTATTCTGAAGCTTAGAAGTCTGTGTTCCTTGCTTGTTATCCTCTTCAGATACGGCAGAGCGTGGGATGAACTCTCTCTCCAAGTTTTATTTCAACAGAATAGAATACACAAGAAAAAGCCGCACAGTGATGAGGTGGGAACAGTCAAAGGATCAATTCCACATATATTGACTGAAATGGATTTT